GGGCCTGTCCAGAGAGAAACTCCTGCCCGCTGCCGGTCCACTATACGGATTTGACAACCGACCTGTAAGAGTGGAAGGAACCATCAGTCTCCCAGTCATACTTGGAGAATTCCCCCATCAAGTTGAACATCCTATTCAGTTCATTGTAGTGAAATCTGAATCAGCCTACAATGCAATCTTTGGAAGGACACTCCAAACAATCTTCGGGGCTATTGCTTCAATTCTCCACTTAAAGCTGAAGTTTCCTACCCCATCAGGGATCGGGACCGTACGTGGAGATCAACAAGTAGCCCAATCCTGCTATCTTACGCAGTCTCAACCACGCTCATTAGTTACTCTGAGCATCGACGACTTCGATCTTCAAAATGAAGATACTCCTCAAAGGGCCTCCTCTGTAGAAGATCTTATTTGTGTCTCTCTATCAGATGAGCACCCTTCGAGAACAGTACAGATCGGATCACTCCTCTCAGATGCAGAGAAAAAAGAGTACGTAGACTTTCTACGTATAAACCAAGATGTATTTGCATGGAGTTCGGCTGATATGCCCGGCATCAATCCTGAAGTAATCACGCACTCCCTCAAGATCAACCCAACGTGTAAACCAGTGATCCAAAAGAAACGAAACTTTGCATTAGAACGTCAGCTGGCAATCGAGCAAGAGGTTGATAAGCTTTTAAACGCAAGATTTATAAGGGAGGTACATTATCCCGCTTGGTTGGCCAATGTCGTGATGGTACGGCAAATGGAGCTTGGAGAATGTGTGTAGACTACACTGATCTCAACAAAGCCTGCCCCAAAGACAGTTTCCCGCTTCCTCGTATCGACCAGCTAGTTGATGCCACCTCCAGACATCAGATGCTAAGCTTTATGGATACTTATTCTGGATACAATCAAATACAAATGGATCCTGCTGATGAGGAGGCAACAGCTTTTCAAATAGATAAGGGGTTATACTGTTACCTAGTAATGCCATTCGGGCTTAAGAATGCCGGGGGAACATATCAACGTCTGATGAATAAGATTTTTAAGAATCTTATCGGGCGTACTATGAAAGTATATATGGATGACATGCTAGTAAAGAGCCTCAAGAAGTCCCAGCATATCTCGGACTTGGAACAATGCTCCTGCCTCCTTCGATCTTACAACATGCGCCTCAATCCCTCCAAATGTGCATTTGGAGTTGCCTCAGGAAAATTTCTGGGGTTCATGGTTACCCACCGAGGGATTGAGGCCAACCCGGAGAAGATCAAGGCCCTAAGGGACATGCTACCCCCAAGAAATATCAAAGAAGTCCAGAGATTGAACGGAAGGATTGCGGCACTCTCTCGATTCCTAGCTCGCTCAGGAGACAAATATTTATCTTTTTTCAAGGTTCTCAGAGGTGCTCGTAGCTCAGGGTTTCAGTGGACCGATAAATGCCAAGAGGCTTTCGAACAACTCCGAGTTTATCTAGCCTCGCCGCCACTACTCTCGAAGCCAGTTCCAGGAGAAATTTTGTATATGTATATGGCCGTCTCCTCCCAGGCTATAAGCTCAGTCTTGGTTCGGGTAGATGACATTGTTCAACGCCCAGTCTATTATATTAGCAAGGTACTTTCAGAGACTGAGACACGCTATCCACTAGCAGATAAAACAGTCTTGGCATTAGTCTTCTCAGCAAGAAAGTTACGCCCTTATTTCCAAGCACAGCAATCAGGGTTTATACAAACCTATCGTTGAAAAGTATTCTCCAAAAGCCCGAGGCATTTGGAAGGTTGATCAAATGGTCAGTGGAGCTTGGAGAATTTGACCCGAAGCGTTGTTGGAGGGTTCAAACCGCAATTTGAGTTACCAAACGGTCTCCGATTTTAACGAGCTTATACTTGAATCGAACGGCTCGACGAGACAAATCCAACGAGCCCAAGATCACAAAATTCCGACATCATTAAGGCCTTCGAATGTCCAACGAACGGTGCACGATCATAGGATTCAATATCGACCGTCCATTCGACCACTCCCTATTCGCCCCTGATCTCACGCCTATTTACGAGCTATGCCACTCCAGAAAATCTATAAATAGAGCCCTCATTCTTCACAAGGGAGAATCCAAGAAAGAAAGAGAAGAAGAGAAGAGAAGGAAGAAGCTCCTCCTCGACAGCCGCCGAACCACTGCCGAACCACCGCAGGAGCACCGCCGGACCACCGCAGGAACCTCGCCGGACCACCATTGAAACCTCGCCGGATCACCGCCGGAGTTTCATTGCACCACCGCCTTAAGGCCCGACGTTCAAACCCGACGTCCTGTTGAAGACCTGACGTCCTGCTTAAGGCCTAACGTTCAGACCCGACGTCCTGTTGAAGACCCGACGTTCTGCTCAAGGCCCGAAGTCCTGCTGAAGGCCCGACGTTCTGCTCAAGGCCAGATTATCAACACCCGAACTTCCAAGTGACACCGGGTCTAACACCTGACTCCAATCGAGCAGTTACTAGTTGTAATCTGATCGCCCTTGGAGGTGATTCAGTCCTTTGTAACCGACTCAAATTCTAGTGGAATTATTTTTCAACTGGGCTAGGCCCTGTGGTTTTTTCCCTTTCTAAGGGTTTTCCACGTAAAAAATCTTGCTTTCTCTGTGTGTGAGCTAGTTATCCGTACAACGTTAAGACGCAGAATTAAATCTCTATCGCCGCGTATTTTCTAGCCCGCAACAACAACCATGATTGGCTTAAATAAAATCATGGCCCTTTACTGTTCATTATTGGCAGTCTACTCTGCAGTCAATGTGTTGTTGCGACCTTGCCAAAAGATGTGAAGGCTACGTTGGCTCTGTTTAAGGTCCGACAGACACCCCAACCATGCAATATAAGAAGCTTCCATATTTGCTGGTGGGTAAGGGAGGGAGAGAGAGAGAAGATAAAGGAGAAAGTGGAGCTAAAAATTGATTTAATATGTTTCTATAACTGTTATTACCCAGGCTTGAACCTTAAAGAGTCATAAGTTCTTAGCGGAATGTAGACAAAGTTAAAGATTGACTTCCTCTTGCTAGCCTCGAATGTCAAATTATTAATAAATTCAGTTTATACCTGCGGACGATTATAGATGGCTTGAACTAATCAGTAGGAACTGAAAGTGGGAGTAGTACTATCCAACTCAGAAGAGATCTTCATTGCACATAAGTATACGTAGACTATATGAATTTGTCTTTTCTTCCGGCGTGCCTTGATTACATTTTACAGTTTAATAAACCTCAGTGAAAGTTCATCAAATCATTTCTGCAATCACAGCTCCATTTATTTATTGTTGATAGCTTGAATACCAGTTTTTGTACTGCTAAATCAGATGTTTTTTAGATGCCTTACTCGTTTTAACTCTAGGTGCTATTTCCACCAGTGACACTAAAATAGACGCGAATAAACTAAAAGCTCAAAACAAAAACAAAAAAAATCTGAAGTAAATAGATCAATTTAGTAAATAATAAATTAAGGTGCCTATTTAAGGATTTGTAATATTAGAGGTGAATGCAGCATTACGGCCAAAGCAGTACTTAGGGTACTTACTTTGTTAGTATACCTCTTAGAAATGGGAGTTTTTGCTGTAATGTCTCCAACTGTGTAAGACCTTGCACAAATGTAACTGGGATGAGAAACAGAAACAAAAATAGAATAGTAGCCACCACTATTGATATTTGGCGAATCCAAAGTTGCCTGTACGGTATTGAAAGGTTTGACCAGTATAAGTCATCAGGTTCCGGAGCCAAATCAGTAACCCATAACATAGGGTTTGATGATTGAAGAACTCGAGAAGCCACAACTGCAGCATACCGTGTCTTAAAAAATACCAATGCAGCTGAACAATCCTGAGAATAAATTAAAAAAGGAATCAGACTAAACTATGGATTGATGAGGAAACTTGGTTAATGGTTGATAAGGAGTGAAGATTTAACTTCTAGAATTATTGTTACTTGCTTTTTTTCTTTTTCTTTTTTCTTTTTTTAATTATTGTTAGTTTCTATGAGACTGTATAGTTTCATGATCAAATAAGCTTCTCAAGGTAATCATCTCTTTCTCCCAAACATGGATTTCAAAGTTGATGATAGCAACTTAAGAAGCTTATTTTAGAGAATGGAATATTTTATTACATTTCTGATAATGCACTTAATATCACAATCCCCTTCCCCTAATCTTTTTCTTTTTAATTATTTTGCATCATTATCCATGAAATATTGTGCATAAAGAACTCATGTAGATGCACCTTGTTGAGATGATAAAAAAAAAACTACCTACAAAAAACCTAATCAAAAGCCAATTACACTCATTTTGACAGAACCAAACCCCAAGTGAGCCCTAATTAGCTTAGTTAACATTGAATCATATTCCAAGGGATTGAGTGCAGTCCATGAATGCCTAAAAGCCAGTGTATTGGGTTAGGATGGGCTCGAGCAAGACAGAATCAGCTAGCCCATGCAAATCTTCTTGTTGTTCAGGCCTAAGCTCATGCGAGGAAGCTACTTTTGCGCACAACTGTCAGGGAGAATAGGAGACTAGGTCCCCAGAACCTACTGCAATGAGGAGCAAACTGATGGCCTCAGTTTCCACCGATGTACCCTCATGTAGTTGCAAAAAATGCTAAAAGCTTGAGTCTTCTTTGATATGTTGCATTAGCTAAACTCGAACTCGTCATTAATTAGTTATTTATCCAAAAAAGTTTATCTCAAGATGAGGAATAGATCCCCTACATTCTTTGTCAACAATGATGCAAGTTATCACTAGATTCAATGGTGAATCACATCAATACATAACATAATACTAAAAATTTTGTGTGGTTTTTAAATTATAATACTGATATGAACATGTCCATGTTTGTTAATTAATAATAGGAAGAGGTAGCAAGTGCTACCCAAACTCATTGTCTTACCTAGCTACAATACCCAATTTTTTGTCAAAAAAGATAGATAAGCCTACAATGTTATTCTATATTCTCCCACATACTAAAAACGTCAAAGTTATTTTCATTAAATTCTAATTTTAATTTTGAACCTTTTGATATATATAAGTGTATATACATAAGTTCAATTAAATTCATTTATTAGCTTAAATAACTACTTGATTTTTCATTAATAGTTAATTAACATTTAATTAAATGCATTAGTGTAGCAGATTAGTAATTTAAGATTTAATTGCTAATATCTGAAATTACTGTAGTTGATCTCAGCCCACTAAAATTCCACTAATCATAGCATGCAATGGGCGGATTTTCTGAGAGCTTTAATCAATGGATGTCATTAGCTATTAGTGGAATTAGGAGAATATAATAAGAGCATTAGCGGAAACTAGTGTTATTATTATATTAGGTTTGCCTAAAGCACTAAACTACAGCATTTCAATTTCATTTATTTCCCCTCCCATCCACGCCATTCTCTGGTAAATTCGCGACCAGAGGGGGAGGCAAGCGGGAATTGGTGTTGAGGCTGCTGCAGCTAATTTCTGAGCTTGAGTAAGGAAGAAAAGGAAGTGAAAGAAGGGAAGTAGAGGTGAGAAAATTTGTGAATGAGGAGAAATTTAGCAGAGGTAAAGACTTCTATATTTTTGAGTGTATCATAACTTGTTTTGTTTAAAGGTAAGAATTCATATATGAATTTCCTTTTCCTTTAGGTTGTTTATAGAAGAAAAAGAAGGCAGGGAATTAGAAGAGAGCAAATTCCTAACGAGATAAGATATCCAACATGTAGTGTAAGAAATGAGAACATTTTTGTGTACTTAATGTAAGTGTAATAGAAATCATTTTACATTTAACATGTTATATATATTTAGCATATATTACTAGAAAATTGTGATGCTAAATTGCGATGAGGAGTTCAAACATATGCTTATCTATGAAAACGTAATGTAATTGAGATAGGATATATATGAGGGATAGGCCCGCACAAGTAAAGGAGAAAGATCTGACGAGGTAAGTCTATCTGACTTCTAAAAGTTGAAAATTCGGACTCAACCTTGAAGGAGAGATCAGTCTAATTCTGAACCTTGGGAATTCAGACCCAACCTTGAATTAGAAAATTGTAAGTGTGCAAAATCCTATAGTCATAATATGAATTGCATAAAATGTGTTGAACAATAAGAAGAACAAAAATTGATGTTATATATATTTTGTCTATTATAGAAGTTAGTAGCTCCAGTAGAGATAAGATTAGAGAGAGTCGCCTTAGATGGTTTGGTCACATAAAACGGCGGCCTTGCGATGACCCGGTTAGGAGAGTAGAGGTATTAGATTTGACTTATGTTAAGAAAGGTAGGGGTAGACCTAAAAAGACTTGGTTAGAAAATATTAGGAATGACCTTTCTTTATTAGATTTAAACGAGAATTTGACTTTTAATAGGACACAATGGAACAAAGGATTCATGTAGCCGACCCCACGTAGTGGGATAAAGGCTTGATGTTGTTGTTGTTGTTGTTGTATAGAAGTTTTCACGTGTTTTTAATTGATTGCAAACATGTTTATTATTTCTTATATATTATTTATGTTTTTCATTGAGTTCTAGATCATTGGCATTGATTGTACTGTATGAAAGGAAAAGGAGCTCGTGGGGCTCTAAGCAGGAAGGTTGATTGACCTTTTTAGAGTATATACATTTTGGATGTACATAGAGATTCAAGAGGAAGTTGTACAGATACTTTTGGGTATATAAATAAATTTTAAAAAGTTTAGTAAAGCTCTGTAGTTTACTTGATATGTTTATTGGATATGTTTAAATATGCTTCCAATTATGAAATATAGATTTCGATTAAAATGTGAAAAACTTAAGATGCTGGAATAGTCTTAATAGGCTACTTCCTATTCACCTGATTTTGATAGAAGTAATTTAGAATGGGTATTAATAAGAAATATACCTGTTCAGATACTCCTCTGTTACACTCTAAATTGACTGTAGAGGGTTAAAATAGGGTGTGACACTAGCCACCTAACATCAATTAGATCTAGCAAAGACACTTGGTCAGCCTAGAGGCAAACTTGTCCTATTAGATTTTGTAGAGATTTTTATGTCAAGGTGGAAATAAATTTTTTGTTTGTTCCAGATAGGGATTAACTAATAATTGTAATATTCCTAAAATGACCATATACCAATCTTTAAATAAGCCTCTCTAATAATTAAATTAAAATTTGTTGTGTTGGCTAAACTCTAACTCATCTTTATTCATTTACCTCAAAATATTCCTTTCAAAATGAAAATATATCCCTGAAATTCTTCACAAACATTGATGACGCTTTCACTAGATTCAAGGGTGAATTTCATTGATCCAAAGCATGAAACTAAAAAATTTAACTAGCATTGAGATTTTAACATTGCTCTAAACATGCTCATATTGGTTAATTAATGATGGAAGGTAGTAGTGGGTGATACCCGAACTCAATGTCTGAGCTAGCCACCTAACATTAATCATTTATATGAAGGTGACTTGGTCAAACCAGAAGTGGATTCATCCAATTAAATTCTACAGAGATTCATTTGTTAAGGTGGGAGAAAGCATATATATTTGTTCCAAATAAACATCAATTAGTAATTTTAATATTGAGTAAAAGCTCAAAATAGTCCGCCGACTATCAATAAATGTCCAATTTAGTCCCAGAGTATTTAGCCTCATTTAGTCCCTCGACTATTGAAAATTGAGCCAATTTGATCCCGGCCATTTAAACTAACGAAAAGAGCCGAAGAGGATTGTTTCTTGGGGCATTTAAGTAAAATACCTACGCCTTGCTTTCCACTATTCGCCCTGCTTCCCGCTATACGTTGTGCACGCACTCTGCTAGACGCGACGCCTGGAGACCTTTCTGCGCAGAAGAAGTGAACGACCCAAGATAACGCGAGCAAGGCATCTGACGAAATCGAGGCAGCGACATGTGCGAGGTATCAACGCGAGCGAGGCAGCGAAGCGTGCAAGGCATCGACGCAAGCGACAGGTCGGGCGAGACATGTTAAATACAGATAAGACCATTGTCCAATTTCTCCTTTATGAAATGTTTGTCCACTTCTATGTGCTTGATTTTGTCATGCTGAACTAGATTGTGCCCTATATTGATTGCTAATTTGTTATCATAGTGTAGCTTCATGGGTTCTTCCAATTTGATCCTTAGGCCTTCTAGAATCATTTTGATCCATAATAGCTCACATATACATAAGACCATAGCTCTGAACACTACCTTTGCATTAGATCTTGCCACCACATTCTTGTTTCTTACTCCTCCAAGAAAATATGTTTCCTCCAAGGAGTGTGCAGTATCATGAGGTATATCGTCTATCTACTGATGATCCTGCTTAATCTGCATCAATATAAGCTTTTGGGGTTATTCCAAATTCTTCTGAAGAGAATCCCCTTTCCTGGATTTCCCTCAAGGTAGTGACGTATTGTATTTGCTGCTTGCATATGAGTCCACTTTGGATTCTATATGAACTGGCTAACCATAATTACAGTAAAGATTATATCTGGACTGGTGTGGGAAAGGTAGATCAATTTTCCTAGAAGTTCTCTGGTAAGCTCCCTTATATATGTCTGGATCCTCTTTAGCTTCTCCCAATTTAAGATTTTATTCTACTAATATTGGTGCTCATTTACAAGCAAGTTTAATGTTTCTTTATGAAGATCAATAATATAATTCTATTATGAAATAAAGATTTCTCTATTGGAGTGTACTTTAATTCCTAGAAAATATTTCAATCTGTCAAATTCTTTAATCTCAAATTTCTTAGAATAACATTTCCTTAGAATCACTTTCTCTTTTTCATCATTCCCAATCAAGATGATATCGTCCACATAAACTAACAAAACTATGACTCCCCCTAAGTCTGAGTGCTTGAAGAA